AATGATGATATATTATTACCATCAAAACGCCTACAGCGCATTCATTCATACTGTACGATATTTTCAACATTATTATTTCATTGTTACGCTTCATTGATTTACTATTTACAGTTATTGCTTTCCGTTATCGTGTGGTGATAATGTAAATTTAATGTCCGCCTTGCAGATAACGTTGAAATGTAATTACATAAATTCTTAATCTAACGTGAATAAATGTGTAATAAAATAAGTGTTTTTGTAACATTACATGAATACAAGAATAAATATTTAGCTAAATACTAGCACAGATTGTCTCAAATTGTTATTATTGAAACGACAATATGAACATAGAAGGCATAATAAAATTAGAACGTTCTGTCAGCTTCTGTCTTATAATATAGAGATCGATAAAAATGGATTTAGGTCCAAAACCTTTTGATTCATAAATGTGTAATTATATGGAATAAAATGTATGGGAGCCAAACCATTATGATCTTTTTATGTTATATAACCGGTAAGTGACAATATTTGTTCACTTTTATACCTGTACACGGTTGAAATACGTCATCTCCACTTGAGGTTGTTGAATAGGAGACAGCTTACATACATAGTATAACAGGACAAAATGGAATAATATTAATTGATCCTTGAATTGTAAATGCGCAATTTTTTAATAAATGATATTGTATTTATGTTTGACATGTATATTAATTGTTCCATCGGTATTAGTTGATCTATGTATAAAATATAAATGAACTCCGTTCAAGGTAACTCTATTAATATGTTTAAGCATACTAAATTAATATTTGGTATTCAAAAATAATATTTGATCCTTTTTTTTATTATTGGTATTTTCTTTTAACGCTTGATGACTTTTACAACCTGTACATCTTTTGATATTGATCTCCTAATAAATGTTGGTTGCTTGGTTGCGCCCTCTATTCAGTAGGTTAGGTTAGTATACTAAGGGTTGTATTCTAGAACTCTACTCAATGCTCAAGTCAGGATTTGAGTATGGTTTAAAGCACTCGAAATCATACTCAAGTCCCTGCCATTAGGGTCGTGTTTCCAATGCTTGTGTTGCTAGTGCAATCCTGACTTGAGCATTGAATAGAATTCTAGAATATGACCCTTAGGGTTGTATTCTAGAAGTCTACTCAATGCTCAAGTCACGATTTGAGTATGGTTTAAAGCACTCGAATTCATACTCAAGTCCCTGCCATTAGGGTCGTATTTCCAGTGCTGGAAATCATACTCAGATCCTGACTTGAGCATTGAGTAGAGTTCTAGAATACGACCCTAAAAGCAGCACGAGCCTAGCTAGAGAAGCGACCGTGTCGCGGCAGCGGCCGGCGAGTGCCAGAAGCCAATTTGCTTGCGATGTTTTGAGATCAAATTATATTATAATTAATATATTATACAAATATTTAAATAATTAAATTTTATTTTAAATGCTCATTTGTCTTAGTTTTGAGGCCCAACATATAACTATCAAAGTTATTTTGTACATGTCAATCATATTTTGCGTAGCTCAGAACAGAACATCGATTGATTTAATTTATTGTATGTCTCATAGAAAGGGGATCAATCATTAAAAAAGATGACCATTTAGATCATTTAAATATATGCCAAGACAAATGTAGTTTAAGAGGGGTGGCTAAAAAGTAATCCATAAGTATGAAATAAAAGACGATCGTAGTTACTTTTTTCAACGTCGCTGCAAGGGAAATAAATACGTTTCATTTTCATTTGTTCGAAAGGCCTTTAGCCTGTTACAAAAAGTAATTGCTCATTTTCCTTCCGACATATTCAATTGTCCATGCAAAGCGGATAGATAAGTAATATAATAAAAAATAAAGTAAGAAAGAGTCGTCTCACGCACCAAATATTAAAGAATTGAAGTCGTTCGGTCTAAAATCGGAAATGTTCAGCACTTTGTATTTCATAATCATACTCAAGATACCAATCCGCGACGCCGGTATAAAAAATCAATACTGCATTTAAAAAAGGTTACCTATTTCATTAACAAAATTCATAATAATGTTTATTAAATTCATCATACAATAAAATAAAACAGTAGGCACTTTACACAAAACTATTATAACCATGATTGTGTGTGCTATTTATATATAATGTTGAAAACTCCCGAATCCCAAACTAAGCGAAAGCTTGTATTTTGATGTAACAACCCTACGCTCCGAGCAAAGTTTTTATTTATAAAATCAAGTGACGAGACGAACAAATCGTGCGCCTGATGGTAATGTAAACACCTGTCCATAACAGTTGCAGTGCCACTCAGAGCTTTAAATCGCAACGATTTGAGGGGCACTGCCACTGCGCCCGTCACCCTGAGACATAAGTTGATAAGTCCCATGTGCCTGTAATTCCAGCACCCTTACCCTTCAAAACCGGAACACAGTAATGGTGACATTACTGTTTGGCGGCAGAAATAGGTAAGGTGGCAGTACTACCCTGGACGAACTCTTTCACAAGGAGCTCTACTGCTACTAGAAGTGTACGCATTAACGCGCCGAATAGGCGGGAGTTGCCCTACTTGCTCTTATTATTATACTATATAGGTACAGCGGTATATGTAAGCGAAGATGCTAAAAGCATATGCGTTTCTCCATTTCTGCGATTCGACATTGACCATGGTAAACAACATATTTATACAAATCAGGCCCTGTACGAGAGTACAGACGAGAATACAATGTGGATGTGGGTTTGCATCAAGAATCGGCTTTAAGCCCCTGCCTGTTTCTCCTAATTATGGATGCTCTAACATCGGACATACAGAAGGAAGCACCTTGGTGCATGCTGTTCGCCGACGATATAGTACTTGTCGAAGAGGATGCATTTGAGGTCCAGAGCAGACTGGCAAAATGGCAGGTAAGACTGGAGAGTGACCGGTAGGTAGTTTTCCTCGACATTGGCGGTGCCTCCGGTTTTACCAATATTGCCTTTGATGGTGTATCCGTACCAGGCTGCTCCGATTTTCGGTATCTCGGTTCGTTAATACAGAACGACGGTGAGATAGTCCGGGACGTTAAGAACAGGATAAGTGCAGGATAGATGAAATGGCGACAGGCCCTAGACACTATTTGCGATTGACGAATGCCTCTTAAGCTAAAGGGGTAAATATACGAGACCGTGATTAGACCTGTCGTACTGTACAGGTCAGAATGTTGGGTAATAAAAAAGGAGGATTAACGAACTGTGCATGCAGTGGAAATGCAAATGTTGAGATGGATGTGTGGAGTGACGAGAAAGGATAACATAAGGAATGAGTACGTCAGGGGAAGTACGAAAGATGCGGCAGTGACGGAAAAGATGAGGAGAAATTAGTTAGCGTGGTATGAACATGTCATGCGGAGGAAAGAATGTCATGTGACGAGAAGAGTGTTAGGTACGAATGTGGAGCGATTTATGGGGAAGGAAGGCCAAATAAAAGATGTATTGTGTGAAAGATGAAATGGATAAGAAAGGTGTGAGTATAAAAATGAAGGCTGATAATAATAATAATGTGTTTATTTCTCCACAAAAACACGTTCAGAAGGTTTTCAGTAATTTAAGAAACATTAACAGCTTTAGTAGGAGCTGGTGCCTGTTAAAGGCTTAACACCTGTACTACAAGTCACCAGTAAACATTGCAAGAGAGAAACAAAATATGAAAAATATAAAATTAAAGAATATTTCTTTTTTAGACTTATACACTATTGAACTTTAGATAGATGAATTTAATTATAAAATGTACTTTTAAACTGAAAGTAAAACTTAAATTTAAAATGAGTGTGTGTGAATGTGTGCACTTGTGTGTGTGTGTGTGTGTGTGTGTGTGTGTGTGTGTGTGTGTGTGTGTG